TCCCAGATGCAGGCCCCCAGGAAGCAGCAGACTTCCCGGGCTAAGGGGTCGGGGTGGCAGATCATCCCCTCAGTCCCCCTCAGGATGGAGTCTCCCACAACAAGCACTTTACGTTTTGTCTTGGGGAGAGCGGGGACGGTAGCTGCAGTTGAGCCTGTGTTGCCTGCAGGAGGTGGCAACTGAGCAGGCTCTGCTGGGGCTGCAAGAGGTTCGTACCTGTAAGAGGTACTTGTCTCTCCACTCTCAGTTCAGTGACTTCTCAGTTTCTTTTCCCCATGGCCTGGTCAGCTTACTTTTATTACCATCACCTCTTCCTTCCCAAAGGCCCTGGGTCTTACCCACAGCTCTCCATTCTGTGCCTCTTTTCTGCTCTCCTCAAGTCTTCTCTGCTGTGGCCCTGCCTTGCTGTCCTCTTCTGCCAAGCACCCGCTTTCACCTTCGCCTCCTTCCAATCTCTGCTTAACACAAAAATTTAAGCAAGCCTCTCTTATTATCAAAAATCCACATGCTGGCTCAGTCCTGAGCTGGTGTGCTTGTCTTTATGGTGGTGTTAGCTTGATTTTTCAGAGGAAGGTAATGTGTTTGTTTTACACTGCCATGAATCATTAAAGTGTATGGCACTCTATTAATGTTTTAATAATCTCCATTCTGCAGACCTGTTTGTTCTGAAAGGACACAGTATATAAATAGTTTTCTTTCCCAGATAACAGCCATCTGTTTCAGAATCATTAAAGAATGCAACCTTTTATTTTAAGTCCAGATGAGTTAAGCAAAGGTGTCTTGTCTGCAACAGAGGAAGACTAACCAAAGCAAACAGATAGTGGAAGTAACTGTATTAGCAATGAAACTGCAATACCTGAAAGAGACTTGGCAAACACAGTAACCATAGTGCTATTGAAACGTCCTGTAATTCATGCTCCAGTTAATATATATTTCCCAGCAATGAAATTCAACGCTGATGGGATCTGGCAACAAAATATAATAAGTGCAGCAGTTTTTGACATTAAAATATAAGTCGCTTGTATACTGCCACTTAGAAACTGATTTCAAATCAAAATAGGATTTTTATAATAGTGGAATTCTTTTCCCCTGGGAGTAATGTTAAAGGTGAGCTACATGGCCTTCAAGGTCAACAATGACTTGAACCAAACACAGAAACCAAAATACAAAAGAAACAAAATCCTATTTACTTCAGCTGCTTTAGTCCAAATTCCTTCACCTGAGCCTTGATTATGTCCACTGGTGTGATTTTATTCAGTAATTCCTTCAATTATCCACCCCTCCAATTATTTTATTGACCCCAAATATTCAAATGAATAAGATTGCTTTAAAAATAATTTCATTCCTGTATTTACCTGGTCCATAAATAGCTGATGACAAGAAAACTGCATACTCTGCACCACTTTAAGCACATATGATGACATCAACTCTGGCAAGATGGCCACAAGTTGTTGGAGAGAAGGTTTAGACTAGACATCCGTAAGAACTGTTTCACTGTCAGGGTGGCTAGGAGCTGGAACCAACTTCC